CTGCCCCTGTGGAGCAGCACCAGGGACACCTGGGGGGTCCCAGGGCAGTGTTTTTGCCTCTTTGCTTGGTCACAGCAGCCTGGGGACTGGTTCCCTGTGGGAACCCCAGTTGAGCCCTGCTAGGACCCCCTCCCCAGCCCAGGGGAGGGCTGCAGCTCTGGGACAGACCCAACTTTGTTTCAGGTTGCCAGGGCAAAAGCTTTTCCCAGCCGCCTGTGGAGGCGGGGGAGCGTTGCCCGGGGACCGGGGATGCCAGGCAGGGCCCTCGCTGGCTCCAGAGCAACCGGCCGGGCACTGGGAGCTGCCGCGGGGCCAGGGTGGGCACCACGGCTTCACTGGGCCCCCCTCGGCTGGGGCAGCAGAGATTATTTTTCCCACCTTGGTGACTTTTTAGGGCAGTAAGTGTCACCCCAGCTACATGTCTCACACTAGTCTGAGCTTGCTTTGGCAGATGGATGAAATGCTCCACAGAAGGAGCCCAGAGCCAGCACTTCACCCACAGGTTCTGCGGATCTCGCTCTGGGGGATGGAATCCATTCCTGCCTGCAGCAGGTGAGCAAGAGCACAAGGATTAGTAGCCCTTGTCAAGGTAATCCCAGCTGGAAGTAGAGCTGCTCTTCATTACCACACAAAGCTTTTGCTACAACTAAATCCATGCTAAATACTTGTTGTTTAAAATACCATGATGTGCTGTTCCCATGCTTGGTCTTACTATAGTCACAGGAATGATTTATTTAAATTAACTACAATCAGAAACCTAAAACCTCCAGGCCCTAAAAATACAGGCAGAGCAAAACTAAAAATTCCACAGTCTACCAGACTGACAAAAACATCCCTGAGCAAATCTGAAAGCTATAACCCGATACTGTGTAATTGGAGCAAATAATTTCTGATCTAGAATTAGCCACACAGTTGATACCACAGGGCGGGGGAAAAACACAAGAGCATCCGTTATCCTCCCTACCTTCTGCCCTCTCCTCTTAGCAAGCTTCCCTGCTGTGGTGTGAGTGTGCTGGGCAGGGCAGGGCAGGCTGAAGAATGGCATTAAAACATTTGGCCAGTGGGAGTTGGGCAAGTGCATCTTCAGCCTGAGATAGTCAGGTACATCACAGCAGAGGCTGGCTGACTCCTGCCCTAAATCTATCTGCCCCCAGTAAAAGTGAGTTTTCCCCCTGTTCATCTTACTGGGGAGCAGTGAACGGAGCCTCCAGGCTCAGCAGAGCAAGTCCTGAGCTCCTTGAACCAGGGGATCACTCTCCTGCCTCCTTTCAGTTGTGTTCCTCACTTTCATAAACGCCGCCTGGTAAAACGAAGTGCAGTATCCCCCTCGTGCACCTTGCTTCGTTACACTGCGGCTGTGGTGAGGCTCCGCTCTAGTTTCCATTGGCTGGCACCAATAATTTTCGTGATGTTAATATGCTCACCTACACCTCAGCCTCTCACTTCCAGGACCCAGAAGTGCCACCCTGCAACCCACCACACCCTGGAAAACAGGGTTCAAAGAGTCTCTGCCATCCTCTACGACTTCTAGCCCCTCCTTCATCCCCCAAAGTGAGTAGCCAAGCTCTCAGATAGCTCTAGGGAAATATCAGAATTTTGCCATTTTTTTTTTTTATTCAAAAGAAAACAGACTGAGCTACCAGCGTGCTGAGACTGCCTCTGTTGGACTGATGAATCCTGCTCTAAGGAAAGTGGAAGAAAGAACAGTGGGTGCTGCTTGTCCAGAAACTGGTCACACTGGGAATCAATTAACCGCTGGTCATTTTAGGCTGTGCTGGAACAGCATGTTAAGGTTACAGTCAGTCCCAGTCAAGCTTGTGAATTAGTAGCTGTTCTCCATGTCCAGATTTCAGGCAGTATTCCTGGCTGGTGCAACAAGGTGCAAAGCTGACAAGATGACAAAGTAACCGAAGGAAACAGATCAAAACAATCAACTGCAGTGTTGGCTCACTGGTGTCCTCCACTCCCAAATCTCACGAGAGAGTCCAGCTCCCCCCCGGAAACCAAGCCTGTGTCTGGATGTGTCTGTCAGGTCTCCAGCACCCCAGCTGGCAGCTTCAGTTCAGTGTAGCTCTTCTCCTTCACGTGGTTTGTCTGTTCCAGGAGCCATCGTCTCTCCTCATCACTGACATCCAGCCTCAGAATCACCTCCTGGAAAACGCTGTTGACAGCAACCTGTACCACACAGAGGGAAAAACTGCTCAATCCTGGTCACAGGGCAAACGCTGCTCACGTTCTCTGAGCAGAAGACAGGCTGTTACCGCACCTCTTTAAAGTGAAGCTTTTTGAACATGCGGATACTGGCTTCATTTTCCTGACCAATCTTAGCCTCAAATTTGTTGATCCCCAGGTTTCTCACTCCTGCAGAAGAAATCAGAAAAAGAAGCTTTTCTATTACCTGCTCAGCTGCCACATCTATGAAAGCACAGGACTCCAATTTCTGGGGCAGATGCATCTTTTACTGCCCTGTCTGTATCCCTGGGAATATCTGCTTCCCAATCACATCCCGACTGTACTCCCATTCACGGGTGTTGAGCCACCCTTACCATAGGACATCATCATCAGAGTTGCCTCCTTGCCAAATCCTCTGCCTCGGTAGCTGGGCTCTGAAAGAAAGCGACACAGAAGTCAGCAACCAGTCACGTGAGATCCATCAGCCATGCAAGACACTTTTCAGAAAACACTGTGACCTGGACCAGCAAAGGGCACTGCTCAGGACAGAACAGGCACGGTAAAGCCACGAGAATAAAAAGCTGCTGCACGCAACATCTGTCTGCAGCTGGCCTGAGCCACGGCAACAAAGGTCCAGGCTATGAGGCAGAACTTGACCTGCAATCATAACTTCAATCTCGCCCAAAGTCGGATCCTCAGCATCGGTGAGGAAGAGATTCACGTCTCCCACCATGCAGTCCTCGTCCGCACGCGTCTGCCCAGGCCACCGCTCTGCGTCCAGCACAACGAACGTGCACTCTGGGGAAAACAAAAATGCAGCAGCGTTTTCAGGGCATGCTGAGTTATTTACAAAGTAAAGGCACGCAATGGACAGAGGAACAACAGTTTCCACATATTAACAGTGAGGAAGAGCTAATAATTTGGCTTCCCATGCCGAGTGAGCCTGTTCCCATCCATAGAAATGCAAGAAATATTTTGGAAAACGCATTGTGAGGGTGACGCAGACACCAAGACTAGAAACAGCCTGTTTAAGGAGCATGAAAATTTCCATCCCACGTCTGAGGTCTCCCCGCCTTGTCTCACTCAGCAACAAGTTTGGGCAAAGAGCTGTTTGGTGCACAAGAGACTGAGACCTAGTGATTCACCCAGTCCATATTATTTTCACTTTTAGTAAGGCTTTTAATGTCAGCTAAGAGAAATGTTCCAGACTGAGGTCTTTGGCAACCTCAGTATTTTGCAGCTCGCTATATTTCTACCAGGCTTTTATGGGCAGTGATTCATTGTCTGTAGGAGAGCCAGGGAAGTCAATACACCTCAATTAGGTAATTATAAAGTTACTTATTTCTCAAGAAAAAAATATAAGCTCCTTCTATCTTTTTATGATGATCTGACCTGGGGAGTGTTGTCTGTGCAGCAGCAGCAGCTTAGCAGATAATGCCAAGAAGTAAATCACTGTAATATCTGAAAAACTGTGTAAAAAGTACACCAACAGCCCAGGACATTTTCAACGTCCCTGACCATATTCCAGCTACAAAAAACAAGCTGCTGTTGTAGAAGGTCTTGCATCTCCTCTGCTTCAGCGAGTAGAGCCCACTCGCTGGGTGCTCTCAGCTCACTGGGGGCCCTTCACAGAACACGATGGGCCTGCTCACCACTCCCACCCACCCTGAGAAAACGTTTAGGTCCCTCACTGTCTGCGTCGTCCCGCCAGCTGCGCTGCATCTCGTACTCCTGCTCCAGGCTGAGCGGCTCGGAGGCGGTCAGGCGCTGCA